ACCCAGGATATGCTCCTCAACCTGGTATCAGATACAGAGTATTCCACTACGGTTTGGAATACAAGGTTGGAAATTGGAGCTTTGATAAGGCAAACTGGAGGAATGTTGACGTGGTTAATAAGTGCTGGGGCCAGTTTCCAGACCCACCCGACCCTTCAACACTTGATCAGACAGACAAGAACAAACTGCAGACGGATCTGCTTAGCATAGAATGCATAAAGACACTAAATGAAGCACTACGCCTGCATCATGAGAGGAGGAACTGCCCCGATCCCAATTCCTTGTCCAACTCAAACTCCGATGCAGCAGAGGAAGTTGTAGTGTCAAGGAAATTTGGCAAGTTGGATGCAAGTCATGTTGTAGGAAGCAACCGTGCGGAAATGAATCATTCTCAGGAAATTTCAGAACCTACTTTGACAGATGGGTTGTTTAGTTCTGTGAGGTTCTGGGTTGTGGCTCTATGGGCATTCTGTGGCTTGGGCTTCTTGACGGTCGCGTCAGTGCTGTTTTCAGGCCGTAGAGGGAAAGGTAAAAGAGGTAAAAGTTACAGAATTAAGAGAAGAAATTCTGGTTCAGGATTCATGGATATTAATGGACGTGATAGGCATTTGCGTGGAGGTGAAGTACCTTTATGACATTGCATTTTATTATTGTGACGTAAAATTCAAGAAGTTTATCAAAAGATAGATGGAGAAGACCAAGTTTTTGCCTTTGCCATGAGTGTATACAATACAGTGAGGACCATTATATTTGCTAAGCCAGGCCAAGTTTCACTGCCAAAGGACAAGTCAAACAAAGTGGTTATCTGAAAGTCAACACTTTTACCAAATGCTAGTTAGGGTTATTATCATTAAAGAGGAAGAGAAAGAGGTGGTCGTGTAGTAATTTTGATTTTGATATCACTTTGTATTCTATTTGTGTTCTTTTCCATACCAAATCGTATACGCGCTTGCAGTTTGAACTTTGATATACGCTTTTGTTTCCACGGCAGAAGTTTGTCTTCTTTCCGTATTTTATATCTTCTAAATATTTAAATCAAACTGCTTGCTTGTACATTTTGCTGGGCCCTCCTGGTCTAGAACATGTTCCTCTACAATCTGCATCCACATCCAAGTCAACCTTCATCTTTATCACTTGTGGGCTGGGGAAAATTCCAATTCTAACGGCCATGCAATCCAAAACCTACCCACAATCTTGGGCACCTGTTTTATTTCTTCAATTTTGCCAACCATCTTATAAAAAGTTATATTTAATGTGTATTACTTGTCTTGGTAATGTTGTAAAAATGCTGGTTCTCTATCCCCACATTCAATTCAATGGCATATTCCTTGCAAATTGTCGTGTAATATGTGTTAGGCTAGTAGGTCGGGATAGTGAGTCTGCCTACTAGCATTTAAGTTCAAATCTCCCTTCTTATAAATTTAGAGTAGCTTAAACTACTGTTTGTACTCAAAAAAATAAAAAATTAATGCCAACCTACCCTTTGTTAGCATCCCAATTATCAACAACTTCATAGGTAGCCAAGCCACAAGAGCAAGAGAGACTGGTACTGCTGCTAGATTCTGACTCCACCTCTCTCCAGGAGAGAGGGGAGGACACTCCAAATTCAAATTGTCCAAAAATTTGAACGTTGGAGGAGGACCGTTGGTTTCCGCACGTGGGCCCTACGAAACAAGACCACGGGGCTGAAAAGGGATTGGATTTGGATTTTAAAATTTGGAGCCGAAGTCCGAAGTCCGGGAGATGGTTATTGGCATTTTTTAAGGAGACCCCACTTGTCACTTTGGCTTTTGCACTCCGAAGTCTCATCTCTATCTCTAGTTTCTATATGCGGCCTGCGGAGGGGGCCAGCAGCAGGCCAACTTTTCCACGACACTTTTCGTTTTGAATTTCAAATTCGAAATCAACGAGGACGACGACCACCATAACGATGTAATCATAAAATCGATAATTGATTCATAAACCAGAGGATAAAGGGAAGTTTGGATTTTTCGTAGGTCTCACGACATCAAATTAACCACAACCATGGGAGAATCGACGTGCCTCATGCAACCATTCTCCTATGTTTCAGGCATTCCCAATGAAGCACATGAGGTTAGTTCTTGATATTTGTCTCTGTTTTGTGTTTCCTGTAATTTGTAAGGACAAATTCTATGTTTTCTTCTTCACTTTTCACTTACTGGATAGTTTCTAAAATCTGGGTTTCGAATTTCTGTTACAGGGGAACCCAATTCATGCACTTGGGCATTCAATATCATTTGGGAGGTTCACGTCAGAGTCGTTAGCTTGGGAAAGATGGTCCACATTCTCTCACAACCGCTATGTAGAAGAGGCAGAGAGATACTCCCGGCCCGGCTCTGTTGCACAGAAAAAGGCTTTCTTTGAAGCACATTACAAGAAAGTTGCTGCTCAAAGGGCTGCAGCCTTGCTTGAACAAGCAAATGCTAATGCTGCTGCTGCTGCAGCATCAAACAATGCCCCTGAACCCAAATCTGAAAGCCAAGATCTGAAGACCATGGTTCCAACCTCTGAAGTGGTCGTCAATGAACAAGCAGAAAAGGAAGAGGAAAAGGTGGTCGAAGAGCCAACTAGAAAAGAAGAAGCTTTCACTGGTAATACCAATGGGTACAATTCAGACACTGAAATGGACAAACTTGCAAGCAGCAGTGTGCAAGTTGCTGATATCCCTGCAACTCATGAACCCCAAGTTTTGGCGGAGAATTCTGCAGAGCTTGAACTTTCAAGCCAAATGCACAATGCTGTTAACGACAAGGAGGTAAATGATATGGAGCTCAGTGGCACACCCCAGAGTGAAAAACCTCTGTTAAAGGTAACAACATTGAATTATAACCATAGTTTCTACATGTTCACACCCGTGGACTTAATCGACCTGCACTATTGTTGTTTCAGCAGAGCTACAGCGCCAATCAAGAAGCTTCGACCCCCATAAAAAAGAAGAAAACAAGACTCTTTACTTCCTCAAAATCATCATTAGCGTATCATAAAGCACCCAAGGTCCCATCTTCTCCAGCCAAACCCATAGTTTCTAGTTGTTCCGGAAAGGATGATATTCTCACCCCATTGCGAAAGAAGCCGGCAACAGAATTGGAGGACAAGAAAAGATCAACTCCTAAATCACTTCACAAGTCAGTCAGTTTCACACCCATCAGGGAACTTTCCAGATTGACTTCAACAGTCATCAGGAAGATTGAAAATTCAAGAGTTGGTGCTAGTTCTTCCAAGACATCAAAAGATTGCATGACTCCTCTAAGAACTCCAACTACGGTGTGCCTCCCAATTTCTTTGAATTTTTTCTAAAAGTATCTCCATAGATTTGCAGTTTTTCCAACAGTGCTTGCTGCTGAAGAGTTTATCTTTGGAACTGCAGGTATCTAAGAATGAGGTGCACAAGCGTTGTACAAAAACCCCATGTTCCGAAAAGAGAAGGTACCTGATCATATAAAACAGAGCAAGCAATCTTCTAAGAAGTTTCAACCTTTATTCTTTTTTCTATTTTTTCATTAATCGATAAATGAATCTTGACTGATTCTGTTTCTGCTCGTGTATTTTATGAATCACAGGGCAAAAACACAACTTGATCCCTTAGCAAGTGGAACCAAAACACCTCTGTCCAGATGGCGCTCACTCCGTACAGAGTATTTGCCTTATCTTTTGACATTTTTCCTGTTTAATCACATGTAGAATCATGAAAGGCTCACAATTTAGCCAGCACATATTTAAAACATTACTGATAAAAATCACAATCATAACTCCAGAAGAATATGCAGGGCAACTCAACTTGAATTCTCAAATATTAAACATCTGAATTAATGGATTTTCTATGGGTCCCACCTAGCGCCATTTCTCTAAAAGGGACTATGAGCTCTTATGTCTTCTTTTCTTTTTCTTTCCCAATTTGGCCAGTTGTTCAAAGTTTTTGAGTGCCTGCAGAAACAAGGCGCGGTCCCCATTTTCATCTGCCCCTTTCAACTTAAGAACTGAGGAAAGAGCTGCAAGTAGAAAGAAGGCAAGGGTTTGCCTTTTCTCTTCTATATACATGTTCCTAAATTGTGATCAAATCTGTTTCATGAGATAGTTATATATGTGGTTGAAGTACTTATGGACCTCATGTTTTCAGAAGCTCGAAGAAAAGTTCAATGCTAATGAGGCACAAAAGGTGCAGGTACAAAGAAAACTCAAGGTTGTTCTCTCCTTACCAAGCTTCTTCAATCCTTTGCATTTTGTTTGTACAAACCAAGATATGAAAAACAGAATGCAGCTTAATGGACCTAGGCAGCCGTGCACACTACCTTTATCAAACTAATTTTGGTCACCACAACTTGGCTCAATACGTGAATCTCTATGGTTTATGCAGGAGAAAGAAGAAACAGAGATTGGAAAATTTCGCCAAACCCTTTGCTTCAAGGCCAGGCCACTTCCTGATTTCTATAAAGAAAGAAAATCACAAAAGAGTGAGATAGACAAGGTATGTTTGTCGAGCTGTGCAGCTATGCTTCTGCGATAACTATAATATGTTAACTCAGTGTTTAATCATTTATTATTATCCTTGATTTCTTCCAACAGGTTCCAGTGGCTCATCCTCTGCCACAGAAGCTAGGGAAAAAGCCCACTCCCACTCCAACTCCAAGCGTAGTTGAGGCCTCAACGTCTCTATCTCCTAGAGGAGCTCCAATCAAGAGCAGTGGCACCAAGAATGTCCAGGGAAAGAATAAGCGAACCCCAACTTGTTCTCTCATTTCACGATCCTTAAAGACTACTCGTGAGAATTCATCTCGTGAGAATACATCTCCAAACATTCAGGTGGGATAACCTAAGCTTAAGAAGCCAAGTTTCTGTTGGAGCAGAATTTATTGAGATATATCAATCCTGCTGAAAGCTTCTAGCAAATTTTAGTTAGGCTTGATCGCACCGCATACCAAAATTAATTTGCCGGAGACGCAAAAATATATGCATATAGATTTTGAGCAAATTGGTTGTTGTATGAAGAGTGTAGTTGGTTAGTGGACAAAAAATTGTACGGTCTTTCCATTTTTACCTGTACCAAGAATTGTTCTACAAAATGTAGTCCATTTTTACCTGTACCAAGAATTGTTCTACGAAGTGTAGAAGTTGTGGAAGGCTGTGGAATTTCCATTTGGAAATAGGTTTCAGCATCTCATAATTTGAGTGTACCCCTAAGTAGTAAAGAAACATAAATCTGTTAAATCATGGAGGAAGCAGGGATTCAAAATTATAGCCGAGATAATATGTAACAGATGATGTGTCTTTGTTCCAGGACATATAGAAATTTATGACAGGAAAAACCAACCTAGCCTCAGGATGATGGTACAACATACTGTGGTCAGCTGCCATAAAAAAGTTACACCATGGTCTTTCAAGATGGTCCATAACGGATCTTAAGTACTGTGCGTCTTTTTTTTCAGTCAATATCTGCCTAATGATAATTTGAAGCATATTGAGGCCCCTTCCAACAGTTCAAAGTAAATGGTTTTGCGATTGAAAGTGATTTTCTTCTATAGAAGCAGCAATGGAGATGTCTGAAATAAAATAAAAGAACAGGAAGTAAGATTCTCTCTTTCAAGGGTTTAACATTGTTCCAACCCTTGAAATACAAATGGACGGTATTTAGGAAATATTTTGCAGCAATTACATGAAATCAAACAGTCTTCATTTACAATTTTGTTCAATCAGTGATCAGAGATTTCTCTTTATTACCTTCCTATGCAGTGCCCCAAGCGACTTCCGTCCATAATTTCAGACCCTAGCATCTTTACTCCACCTCTTCAGAATGTATTTGGAAGGGAGAATCTTTATATTCCTATAGTCGAGTACTTTCAATGCATGGCTGCACAAAACTCCCATAAACTCAAATTTCATACAATTACAGGCAACTGTTTCAGTAGATGAATCAAAAGTAACTATGTACTCTCGTGGTTGCCCATATATGCTAACTTTGTACTCAAACAACGGCCCAGTCTGAGTGCATTGATTCACAATGATATTTAGGCATGTTTCATACTCTTGCTGGAACAATTCAAATATCCTTGGTGTGTACATATTCCTCGCATGCTTCAAAAGAATCACATCACCCATAAGTTCTGGCAGATGGTGGTGCATGTTGTAATTACCCTCTAGTTCTTTGTAGTGCCAATCATTTACGACCTTTCCAAGATGCTTGCACAGCAGAAGCACATCCGAGTCTGACTTTAAGTACTTTCTTAGGTTTTCAGTAAAACTTTCACGTAGCAGTACAGCTTTTATGTCAGCACAAAAAATATGCCTTCCATAAGCTGTGGCCCATTTCTCTCTATATTCAAACGTCTCATGCAACCACTCATTTTCCCAAAGACCGTATACATCCAACAATACCTTCCATGCATTAATGAAATCCTCCTCATCCTCATGATAAAAAAGACAACTGCTTAAATCATTGATAAAAGAACCAGAGCCGGCAAACATGTAGCTCAGTTGTTTAAGTGCATTTTGGTACACATGCCAAACACAAATTCGATGCAGTGTTTCAGGAAATACCTTATCAATTGCTTCAGCCATCAGTGCATCTTGATCTGTGAGTATAGTTTTTGGCTTCTTTCCCGACATGGCCTCTAGGAAAGTTTGGAAGAGCCACTTGTAAGATTCAACACTTTCATCATATAAAAGTGCAGCACCAAAGATCAGCATTTGCTTATGATGATTTATTCCAATGAAAGGTGTGAATGGTCGGCTATCTTTCTGTAATCTGTAAGTTGTATCAAAGCAGATCACATCACCAAAATCACCGTAGTCCATCTCCATCTTGGTGTCAACCCAGAAAACATTAGTTACTTGATCATCTACATCAGGTTGAAAAGCATAAAAAAAGGAAGGGTTTTTCAATTGCTTGCTCTGAAAAAATTGCTGCAGTCTGGCTGATTCTCCCTCTCTCATTCCTCGCATACATTTGAAAGGAAGTTTATTTTTATAATCTATGGGATCATAACCGTGATTATCAGTGTCTCTACCTGTCTTACATATTAACTCAGAGGATGATTCTGGCTGCATATTAGAACAATCCACTAAATCGCCTTCAAAAACTTGAGCTGCAATTAATCTCTTTTGCGACCGCAACATGTGAACTCTACAAGCAGCAACAAGCTCATGATTGTGCTTTTCTTCAAAGTGAGTGACACGGTATCTATCATCAGGTTGCCGAGATATGACCAATTGCGCCAAACAGCCAATTCTTGTCTCCTTTCTAGGCCTCTTCACATTCATGTCCCGTTTGTCTCTCTGCCGAAAACCTTCTCTAAAACAGGTAAACCTTCTAGAGACCACAGAACCATTTATTTTGCTCCTATTTACATAATCCTTCCGAACACTAAAACCTACCCGTCCAGCATATGTGTTGTAAAACTCATATGCGTGATCTTCTGAGTCAAACCCCATTCCAAGTTTTGGCACCCCATCTATTCCAGATTTATCACCCAAGTTGGCTTCAACTGCTTGAGCAAAATTCAATCTCTTCTGTGATGGTAACAGATAAGTTGTACAAGGGGCAACAAACTCATGATTGTGCTTAGGTTCAAAATGAGTAACACAAAACTTGCCATTGGGTTGACGTGCAATGGTCATGTGTGCCAAGCAACCAGTTCTTGTTTCCTGCCGGGATTTCCTCACGTTGGCATTATGTTGGATAGGCCGATATCCTTGTCTATAACAAGTGTACCTTCTTGAAACAACTATACCATTTATCCTACTTTTATTTACGAAATCTTTTCTAATGCTGAAACCTTCCAGCACAGCATATCTACTGTAACAATTGTATGCATGGTCTTCTGACTCAAACTCCACCCCAATTTGCGGTAACACATAAATGTATTCCTCACCTTTCATGGCCATACCAGCTCCTGGTAAATCAGCACAGGGAACATTTGGCCTCTGCAACTCCTGCTCACCATCTACATCCATCTCACACTTACTCACAGAGTAAAATTTTGGAGTTTCACACTCCTCGCAGTCAATTTCCACCTGGTTCTTGTCAATAGAAGAAGGAATTGGACTCTGATACTCCTGCTCAGTATCAATAACCACCAGCCTCTTCTCAAAAGAGGAACCTTTTGGACTTTGACACTCTCTCGGAGAATCATGTTCATGGTCAATAACTGCCGGACTCCTTTCGGCAGAGGAATCTTTTGAGCTTCGACAATCACGTTGAACATCAATATCCAATCTAAATGACGTTGGAAGTTCATTGTAGTCACTCTCTTCTTGTGGATGACTTGATATATCAGGCTCACTACAACCCATTCACCTTCATTAGGGAAGGAAGAGAAAAAGGAAGGAAAAACAAAAAAAGTCAGGAAAAATTCAATTTAATACGAGAGCCATCATTCACCATAATAAATAAATATCCCATAAAAAACGAGCTACTTACAATTATGTAGCACATCAAATTATCATATCTATAACAGCTAGGATTATTTCGACTGATATTCACAAGTAACTCAATAGGGCAAAACAACGAGCTACGCATGCCATCTTTACTGATACACATAGCTTACATTATATCAAATCAATTGGGTGGAAAAAGGGACTAAAAATTGATACTTGGCAATGGAAAGTGTGAGCTTAGGAGTGGCCAAATTAGAGCTTTATGCCTCAGACAAGAACACATATGGGTCAGAGTCCTTATCAGCAATTAGCATGCCCAGTTCTTCAACCATCACATGAATGCCAGAAGGAAAAAAAAATTCAATTATTGAAAACAGGAATGCAATTATGCAATGCACCATTGTAGCAAGCAATGAAACAAGGAACGCTGGAAGATCAGAAAGACCAAAGATTTTATTATAATTCTCAATGAAAAAAGTAACCAGTATAGCACCAAACATGCAAGAGAACCCATTACTCCAGAGAGAGAGAGTGTGTGAGACAGAGAGGGGGCAAACCTTAGAGAGTGAAAAGGGAAGAAGAGGAAGGGAAACGGGGAAAAATTATGCTGCTTTGAGGGTGCAAAGCTCTTGGATGCTCCGGTAGGATTTCAACGAACCAGATATTTCTGATATTGTGGTCTATCAGGCGGAGAGCAACCGGAAGAATTGTAGAGTTTTAGGGCTTTTTTCTCAGCTCCATTCGGTTTCAGAGTGACTAACTGGTGGGAAAACTTGGAAACAGAGTGCGGACTAGTTTTTTCAACCCGTCTCTTGACGTGGCAGTTGGTCATTGGTTTTGCAAAATGACTCAGCTTAAGGGGCTGTTCGGAAATGAAATGCACATATCATTGAGATTCTTTTCTATTCATTTGGGTTAGATTTGCTTAAACTGAATTAGATTGGAGGCCAAATTCTAATGAGAATATTGTCCAATATTTTTTTGTAGAAAATCGGTTGTAATTTATTGAGGACAAACAGAGTACAATTAAAATTCCAAACTAAAGTCAAGAAGATTAGATGGGTATTTCTACACACATAAGAGCTCATACATTGAACTAATCAAATAGCCTATTCTACTTGCTTATAGCGATCAAAAGAACTCTCATTCATGATGAAGCACCCTCCGGCTCCAAATATTCCTTACACACAGACTCACGGGTCCGCAACAAGTACATCAAAAATAAAATCAGACCAAGACAAAGAAGCAGCAATAAAGTAATATTGTCAAATATTTAGAAATAAGATTATCATCATCATCATTATTATTAACTTGTACATCAAAATACAAAGCAGATGAAAAGAAGTTGACTTCAATCCGCGTTATTCAAACCACAATCACGTTTGTGGCACTAAACACCAACCTTCATCTTCCTCAATTGGATCAATCACATATTCCACATTAAAGAAACCCATCTCTTCATAATTACCATCTTCCTCAACCTCATCAAAAGCCACCCTCACATCATGATCATTTCTATTATCATAGGCTCTACTTGCATAACCATTGATTTCATCCTCTTCTTCATCATCATCATCATCATCGTTGTTATCATTAGTAGGTGAATCGAACCTGTTCACGTGTCGGGTTCCGGGTCTTGGGTTCAATGGGTCGGGTAGGACCCGGTAAGTCCGGACCATCCCGTGCTGGCGACCCTCTCTCTTCATTGTTGACAAAGGGAGCTGTGGGCTGAATGAAAGATTGAAAGAAGGATGAATGATGGAGGTGTTGAGTTGTGCCCTCTCTCATTATATAGTGTTGCTTGTCGGAATGAAAACTTGGGAAGCACGGTCTTTGGTTTGGTAGGTCCTAATTCTTGTGGACCAAGCCAATAAATAATTAAAGATTGACAACTCACCAAGATAAAGAATATATCTTTTTCGCTTTTTTTTTTTTTCTTCTTTTCAATATTTTTTATATGTTTTATATTTATAATTATTTTATAAAGCAAGTACTTTTGTTTTAATAAAGCAAGTACTTGGCAATGGCCAATTGCTTATGCTTGACGGTATGCATATGTCTGTTTCTTGATAATGATGCCCACTTACATGTTACAGGGTTGACCCTGGATTTTTATTATTTATTTTTCACGTGGCTAATGGAAATTATACAAAGTTGTGATGAGAAAAGGTGTGAGCCCCAAGGCAAAGGGACACTGCAACCTGTTTTTATTCAGGGTATAATTGGATCCTGAAGGAATCAGAATTTGAAACATGTAAAAGAAGGAATCTTCGGTTTAACATCTAACCATCCTGACTGGAACCTGTGTTTCTGAAACTTGATTATGGAAAATCATACCTTCTTAATTTTACATTTCTTGAAAAAGTTTCTACTCTATATCACCTGGTCTAATGCTACTTCATCCCAGGCTTTTGATACCTTGCTTCGGAAGTTACAAAGGTATGTCCCTCAAGGATCATCTGTTGCTGACTTGTATGCAGGAGCTGGTGTAATTGGATTATCATTAGCTGTGACAAGAAAATGCAGGCAAGAATTGGGATAATTTGAATGTATAAAACCTCAAAAGTTCAGTCTTTATTTTTAAATATAAGACATTCTGATATGGAATTATTATTGTTTTCTAGGTCTGTTAAATGCATCGAGATTAACAAAGAATCAAAACTATCCTTTGAGAAGACAGTTGACCGCCTGCCAAACTTAGTAGATATAGCAGTATCAGCTGGCATCTTGCAGATACTTCTAAAGTTGGTAACCCTTTGAAATTTTTTATGTATATATCTTAAATTTTTACCTCATAGTATTAGTAGAGATGTCTGCTTTCTTCAGGTTTAGATGTTAAATATGGCTAATTCGAGGTGGGCCGGCTGTCCACAACCCGCCAAGTGACCAAACGATGATTGGATAAGACGTCGGATGACTTGAGCTTGTGGTTCCCTTTGGTCTTGTCCTTGGCCTTAGAAGCCGGGTGAATGTGACACTCGGTGCACCTGGGCTTGCCGCACTTACCCGTGAACTTGGAGTGGTTGGTAGGCTTGGTGGCCACCTTGGTGAACAACCCGGCTGTAGTAGGTGAATCGAACCTGTTCACGTGTCGGGTTCCGGGTCTTGGGTTCAATGGGTCGGGTAGGACCCGGTAAGTCCGGACCATCCCGTGCTGGCGACCCTCTCTCTTCATTGTTGACAAAGGGAGCTGTGGGCTGAATGAAAGATTGAAAGAAGGATGAATGATGGAGGTGTTGAGTTGTGCCCTCTCTCATTATATAGTGTTGCTTGTCGGAATGAAAACTTGGGAAGCACGGTCTTTGGTTTGGTAGGTCCTAATTCTTGTGGACCAAGCCAATAAATAATTAAAGATTGACAACTCACCAAGATAAAGAATATATCTTTTTCGCTTTTTTTTTTTTTCTTCTTTTCAATATTTTTTATATGTTTTATATTTATAATTATTTTATAAAGCAAGTACTTTTGTTTTAATAAAGCAAGTACTTGGCAATGGCCAATTGCTTATGCTTGACGGTATGCATATGTCTGTTTCTTGATAATGATGCCCACTTACATGTTACAGGGTTGACCCTGGATTTTTATTATTTATTTTTCACGTGGCTAATGGAAATTATACAAAGTTGTGATGAGAAAAGGTGTGAGCCCCAAGGCAAAGGGACACTGCAACCTGTTTTTATTCAGGGTATAATTGGATCCTGAAGGAATCAGAATTTGAAACATGTAAAAGAAGGAATCTTCGGTTTAACATCTAACCATCCTGACTGGAACCTGTGTTTCTGAAACTTGATTATGGAAAATCATACCTTCTTAATTTTACATTTCTTGAAAAAGTTTCTACTCTATATCACCTGGTCTAATGCTACTTCATCCCAGGCTTTTGATACCTTGCTTCGGAAGTTACAAAGGTATGTCCCTCAAGGATCATCTGTTGCTGACTTGTATGCAGGAGCTGGTGTAATTGGATTATCATTAGCTGTGACAAGAAAATGCAGGCAAGAATTGGGATAATTTGAATGTATAAAACCTCAAAAGTTCAGTCTTTATTTTTAAATATAAGACATTCTGATATGGAATTATTATTGTTTTCTAGGTCTGTTAAATGCATCGAGATTAACAAAGAATCAAAACTATCCTTTGAGAAGACAGTTGACGGCCTGCCAAACTTAGTAGATATAGCAGTATCAGCTGGCATCTTGCAGATACTTCTAAAGTTGGTAACCCCTTGAAATTTTTTATGTATATATCTTAAATTTTTACCTCATAGTAGAGATCTCTGTTTTCTTCAGGTTTAGATGTTAAATATGGCGATAATTTGTTAAAGAGAAAGTATGAGAATAAATTTTAAATTATTATTTAGTATGTGAATTCTTACGAATTTCATGTTTATATTATAATGTATACAAAGCAATTTTCAAGGTTTCTCCGTTATTGTTCCTTTATGATTTCTGCTGAATAGTTTCTTGGATGCATCTCTTGTTGATGCATTGCGGAGTATATCTTCGGCCGAGTATAAAGCTAAGTCATCCTCCTCAGAGAGGTTAGACTCTCTCTTCATTGTTGACAAAGGGAGCTGTGGGCTGAATGAAAGATTGAAAGAAGGATGAATGATGGAGGTGTTGAGTTGTGCCCTCTCTCATTATATAGTGTTGCTTGTCGGAATGAAAACTTGGGAAGCACGGTCTTTGGTTTGGTAGGTCCTAATTCTTGTGGACCAAGCCAATAAATCATTAAAGATTGACAACTCACCAAGATAAAGAATATATCTTTTTCGCTTTTTTTGTATGGCCTCAAGCAAGCACCCTGCTCGTGGTACGAAGAATTGAGCACATTCTTGCTCACTAAAGGATTTGTCAATGTTATCACAAATGCATCTCTATTTAATTTTTGCAATGGTGGTGATATAATTTATTTTCTTGTTTATGTTGAAGATCTTATTATTACAGACAACAATATGGGCATCATCAATCAGTTCATCCACACTTTAGCTCATCAGTTCTCCGTCAAGGATTTGGGGTTTCTTTACTTCTTTCTTAGTGTTGAAGTTCACCATACTAAAGATGGTTTATTTCTTTCTCAACAGAGGTATATTCATGATCTCCTTGTCAAAGCCAAGATGGAAGGCGCCAAAGACATTAGTACCCCACTATCTACCGCTAATTCCTTAGTTCTCTCTGATGGCTCTTCCTTCACAGATGTCACTGTCTTTCGTCAACTCGTGGTGGCCTCCAGTACCTCAGCCTCACTCGCCCAAACATCTCCTTTGTGGTCAACAAGCTCTCGTAATTCATGCATTGCCCGACTGCGTCTCATTTGCAGGCTTTGAAATGCCTCCTTCCCTACTTGAAGGCCCCGTTTGGTAGGCTGGCTTGGACTGGTTAGGATGGGCTTTGAAGCATTGGATTGGGTTAGCTTGGACTGGTTAGGTTTTGAATCCAGTCCTGTTCATTTTTTGCACCAAACAACAGATTAAAATTGGCTTTTTTGTATTTAATAAATCAAGATTTTATTTTATTTTATTTATTAACAATAATTCCAACTTTTTGACCCCAACAGAAGAAAAACCTCAAATTTTTGCAAAAAGCCTAGACCCAGATGAAAAATCCTAATCAAACCAAGAAGATAACTCTCAAACCCAAAATCAAACTCATATACAAACTGAAAATTCGATAATATATTTTTCAAATTCAATAAAACACAAACTGAAAAACAACATTCACAGCACAAAAGAAGAAGAATGAATGATGCAAATTCTGGAATCCCAATACCAGATCTGAAAGA